TCTTGCACCCCAAAACTGATCAGTAGAAACAAGAAAAATAAATACGCACCTCTAAATCCAAACCCCATTCATCCCGATCTTTAATTCCCAACCCCCCCCCCTTTTTTTTTTTTCTTTGATATTATTTATTCATTAATTAACAAGGTTTTGTTTTGTCTTGTTCACTTCTTGTTTGAATTTGTTGGGTTGGCTTTCTCCTGCTCTGTTTTCTTGGCTTCCCCAAAAACGTACGGAGAAAGGTTCAGCACCCCATTCGAGTCACCACCTCTATGGCTGCCCCATCGACCATATGGCTAAAAATGCCCTGAAAACAGTTGGAACGATGGACAAAGAATCTTGAGACTCTGCCATCATAAATTACTTGAGTTAAATGGGATCAGATGAAGATTTGTGAGGGCCTACTAGTTCCTCCAAACATATAAACCAAAGGGCTTTATTCTTGTGGGTCGTCTGAACTGGTTTATGGGCACAGCGTTTCAGGTCTTCCTTCGCATGCACACCAGCGTCGCCAACCTGGTGATGTACTCAAGAAAGAGTCCAGAAGAGGAGGCTTCGTTGTGTCTGCGTTACTCGCATTTTGCAGTCGATATCTGGTATGCTTTCAATGCCCCCGCTTTGATTAGCGTTTGTAGACAAGTATTTATGTGTGTGTCTCGACACTCGCCACTATTGTCAACTAATTTGTGTGCCGTGTTGGCTGCAATCTTGATCGACGTCAAAGCCTTGCTCGGCCTTACACTCCTTCTAGTGTCTGTGCTTGCTTGGGCCAGCGTTTATGGAGTCTTTGATCGCACCACATTTCGTCATTCTCTCTAGACTAGAGCCCTGCAGCAATTAACCCTCCAAGCTTTCCCTCCCTCCGCCCCCCGCTTTGAACCCTTAGTAAAGGACTTCACGCGTTCATACTCTATTGTGAAGGGGCTCGCGACGGCTTCTAGGCGAGATTACCTATGATCTCTGATCATGAAAATTAATGTCACAAAGACAAAAAGAGTACGGACGCACTTTTCATCAATCCGTACAAGAAACCCATGCTCGATTAACTTGCCGCGTAGTCTCACCATTGATCTTTTATTACAAACATCATTGCATGTGTGTGTTCACCAATCGCACTCAATGTAGTGCGCAATGTCAAATGTGTGAGCACAAACCGCAGAGGGTTCATCGCCCTTCTGTCCCCATCATCTCCCCCGGGAACTGCCTGAAGGCCGAGGAGATGTGCAAGACCGAGGAGGGAAGAGGAGCCATACCTCTGGCAAGATATTTCTTGGAGAAAACGATCGTAGGCAGTTCTCCACAACAATAAATAGTCCTGCATGGAGCCAGCAGAGACCGAGAGACATAGAGAGCAATACTCTGCTCAGCTAACCCAGAAATTTTCGGCTTTTTTTTTTTTTAACAAACATCAGCAAGTTTCCATCGATAATACTACTATATATCATCATAAGAAGAATGTCCATAATTCATGTGGTGAAGGTGGCGATCTTCGCGTTGATCCTCTCTGAGGACATTGTGGTGGCGTCTACAGGAGGACTGCAGTCGGGGCTACACCGTCCAAGGACTAACACCAGGGCCAGGCGTCATAATATAAGTAAGCGCTCGCGTGTGTGCTTGTAGGTGAGCATCCCAACTCATGATGTTGCGCGAAGAAACTCCGTCAAATACAGGCGCGGGCATCTCTCATAGAAGACGCAGACAAGCCGCTTGTCCTCCCGACGAGGAATATGATAATCCGTTGGATACCCAAAACGGCTACGCGTAAATCATTTTATCTGTTGAAAAAATTTGCATCATCTTTGAGGTGGCGCCTTTCACCCCTTTTATAACTGATGGCTTTCCTTCTTTGTCTCCATTGGTTTTGATGCAGAGCTGAGGGGGAAGAAAGAAGAGACTTATCTCCCAGTCAGACTCAGAGCGAAAGTTACTGGGACGACTCTTCCTATTCTTCGAGCCAATCGAGTCGAGCCCCTGGTAAAACAGGCTCCTTCCAAAATGGTACCTCCGGAAATCTCACCGATTCACTGGCTGGTTATGGAAACTTCTCTCAGCCCATGAATGGCTCCCAATTCAACATAAGTACCGCAGGGGCCCAGCTGGCGAACAACGGTTCTAGTAATAGTGCCAACCAGACTAACTCCACGTCGGACTTGGGGAATGCGTCTAGTAGCATGCCTTCTGAGCTCCCCGCAAACGGGATGAAAAAGCATGACCTATTGTATGTCCCCGGAAACTATATGACGTGGAAATATATATTCTTGGTGATCGTTCAACACATCTGCTTTGATTAGTTTGGGATTCTTGCCAGACGACGGTGCGTCGGGAGGCACCCGACAGACGATGGCCCAGCTTAACTCGGCGATTGGCAGCAAGGCCGCCGTTTACGGCTGGTACGCCCAGGCCCACTCCGGCGTACCCTTCGATGGATCCCAGTTGCTCTGGGTCATCGATGACGTGAAGGCGTGTAATTGTGTATTTCAACCCGCTGTCATGCCCGTGGACGGCTGGCAGGGCCTTACTAGCAGCGATAACAGCCAGGCTGTTGCCATGTGAGTACACATGCTTCGTCTCTTCTGGCCAATCCTTCCTCGCACATAAAACACGTGCCCACCATTGAATCGATCAAAACATACCGACATGATGCATTAGTGCCAACGTTATGAAGAAATTCACAGACGAAGGCATCCCAGTCTGGTTACGCTTTGCGCATGAAATGAATTAGTTGAGTGGACGCGTTCCGTATACTTGGGCAGGGCCGTGCTGATGAGGGCTGGAGTGAGTGTAGCTATCAAACGGATGGGACGTACCAAGGGACGGCGGAAGACTTCAAAGCGGGCTGGGCGGCGGTATCGGCGGCAATCAAGCAGATCGCGCCCAGCGTCAAGATGTTCTGGACGCCCAACGTGTCCTCCGAGGACGACTATGCCCGCTACGAGCCCGACGATATGACAACCGTCGACTTCGTCGGAATCGACTATTATCCTAAAAAACTCTCCGGTAACGACTTCCTCGATAACATGCAAAACTTCCACGATAAATACGCCGTCGATGGCCGCAAATTCGCCATCGGTGAAACTGGGTATGTCAAAACATATCCGCATTTGAAATTGCTTCTCCATCTTCTCATTTTGCTTTCTCTTCATTTATTTGGCGGGGCGGGGCGGGACAATGTTTTTTTTAAGACTTGGCTGGAGTGGTAGTCTAGATGATAAGGCCAAATGGTTCAACGAAATCTGTGCAGCGAAGGCTTCCATGCCGCAATTCGTAGCGATGGCATGGTTCAACTACGACAAAGAATACGACTATAAAATAGCAGGGTAAGCAGCGGTTGCAGCCCCTCTGATTGTCCTTCCGGGCATGGCTAGCTCGCCGATGGAGCTCCGACTGACCCTACTTAATATGTTTCCTACACCCAAATCCATCTCTAGAGAGCCCTCGCTGAACCAGAAATTCACCGCCCTTATTGCCGCCTGAAAATCAAATGGCATGGGACGTCGAAATCCCCCCCCCAAACAATTATTTCATTCTAACTTATCATTCTCAATGGACTATCCCTTATGATGTGACAATCTCTTATCTGCCCCTGTAACCATTTCAATCTTTCGTGTTGTATTTACATCATCTTTGTTTGCCATATGCACTTTCCAACGGACAAGCTCCGCAACATTTTTTTTTCTCGTTCAGTCACTATGGTGGAGGGGCAGAAAGAAAACAAACGTCATAATAATAACACAATGGGTAGCTATCGGTCGCGGTCACACAAGAAACAAACTGCCTTGTTTACCCTGCAAGCACCAATGTGAAAGCTGGCGCGCGGCTATCTGATCAAGCAACAAACTTTGATTTTCAAAAGCGACTAGCACGACCCCAGGTCTAGTAAAGCGACTGGTGGTTACCTTGAGAGTTCATCCACTCTCGAGGAATGTCAAGAAAAAAAAAAAAAGAGCTGATACAAGAGGAACAAGGACTACAAGCGCAAAGAAAAAAACGACAGGTGGAATTTTTTACTTCCGTCATATCAAGATATTAGACATCAAGTGGATTGATCAAGTAATGAGTTAGGTTTGAGCTGAGGCGGCATTGGGATTACCTTTACACGCCACGATTTTGACTCGCTTTACTGGCCCAACTGAGTCTCCACCTTCTAGTTTAAAGATTGAATCATGCAACAAAAATGTCCATACCTTGAGGTTTTTTTTTTTTTTGCATGTCAACATAACGAAGAATGCAAATGTTTAAACTTTTCTTAATTTTTGTCTGCTTGGTAGCATCTTCTTGAAGAGGACAGAGAAGCGAAATGCGTACCTCATCGCACAGCCTATACGTAGATAGATGTCCTTTAACTGTACATTTCGAACGAAGGTCATTCGAAAGGACTTCAGAGGCAGACTTATCGAACTGGGAGCACATGCAAGAAAAAAGAAAAAAAAAGAAAAAAATCAATTCACCGTCCATCTAGCATGGCCAAATGAGGCAGACTTCCACAGGGATCAGCTAGTGTGGAAGTCTAGCGGAAAGAACGGAAGAGCTTGCTGACCTGCTTGAGTACAGTCAGAGCTAGCTGGGGGTTAATGTGACCGCTTTGGATCAGCTCGTCGAGCGCGTCAGTGAGGGCGAGTCCGAGGCTGATGAAGAAGATGGGACAGGTGAATTTGAGTATACGGTCGTCATGTATACATCCATCAGATTCGGTCCATGAGTGCCGTCTCGCTAAGGCACCAAAAAGAAAATAAAATGATTTCACCTCGATCGACGGTAGAGTTCAAAGTATGGCGCCGAAGTGATGCCCGTGTTCGAGGCCATGTATGTATGGATGTGTGTTATTCGATCGCAGCGCTTGAATCGGATCACGAGGTTCTTTCCTTGGCTAGACGGAGTTGAGATGGAAGTGAATGCGGATGGGAAGAAGGGAGTGAAGATGCGGGGGACATTATAAGGGGTAGGACCGGGGATTCATCGGGGAATGTTAGATTATATTTTTATCCAAGTCCCTCTCACTGTAAGGTCATTTGGCCGAGTTGGTCTAAGGCGGCGGTCTTAAGATCCTCTAGCGCGAGCTGCGTGGGTTCGAATCCCACAGTGACCACATCATCCCATGAACCAGGTTCCAGGGGCAGACTTTTTGTATGTCGTGGCGCGGTGTGTCATGCCCTTTTTTCATTTTGAATACTTGTGGTACTTGGGTTGAGGACATGAAAAGTCATATAAATCATAAATATTATAGGGCCTGGTGTTGAATCTTCACACAGGAGAGTAGGTCTCCACTAAAATTGGGTGGCTAGAGGGGGCACCTTGTTCTCCTCCCCCCTGCTTTTTTACAATATCAAGCCAGTTTGCATTTGTAATCAAGTCTCATGTCTCTCTAGGTGGTTCCATGCCCAATTTTCTTGGTCAGTTTTCTCAAATTTTTATGTCCATGTTTTGAATACTGAAACTATCAGTAAAGAAGTCGGGAGCTGATACTGGCAAGAAGGTTGTGTTTCTGTTCACAGCTACTGCACTAAAAAAAAAATCCCCAAGATTGGTGGGGAAAGATGGTGGCTAAGATTTTCACTTTCAAGAATTGAAGCAACAGGCTTATATCCTCTAGTGAGCTGAATGGGTTGGTTGGTGTGATGCACTGGAATTCTATGGGTGATGGTCTCTGCAAGGAAAGCTAAGATTGAATATTGTGGTTATTTCTGGAACAGAAATGAAATTGGCTACCATTAGAATTGAGAATATTTTTTCAAACAATCTCATGATTGATGACTGTCTATTACTTTAAGATGGTTAGATTGAACTGTAAGAAGAAAACAAAACCCCTGAGGGATTTTAGCCTTCAGTCAAATCTAGTAACTTTAATTCACACCTCAACTTGATTAGGATATTGATAGGCCCAGTCTGACCCTGGAATGCTGTTTGTTTATGTAAAACATGAGAGCAGGTCACAATGTGGTTGTTTGAAAAGTGGAAAAAACCACATGGTTTTATTAGATGTTACTGGTGCCCAGCTAAAGGTAGTTGGAGTCCATGGAGTTGCAGGAGAAAGTGCTGGTCAGCACAGCTAAGTACACAAAAATTTGGGACATCAATAATGACACTCATTCACAACACGGAAGGACTTATAAAGAGAAGGGCACAATGGTTTTATTCCCAAAAATCAAATTGATCATTACAGCTAAACTTAACCAATAAATTCTCTGTCTCATGGAAAACAAATTTTCATCACCACCCGCCCACCCAGAACGGGAGAGGGGGGGGAGGTGGCAAGGGGATAAGGGGGAGAATCATCATCAGGTTTCCCCCCCTCAAAGATCTTAGCAAAGGAGTACATATGCCTTACACATCCTTACCCCATGCATGTAAGGCTTGAGAGGAGCACAGAGTTGCTTCTCTAGGAAATTCCTAGGAGAGATTCACAAAAGAAAATCACTCTTAAAATTTAAATGAGATAAAACTGCATATGGATTATGGCTTGAAACTAGTGCTAAAAAAATTAAATGAAATTTGGACAGAGGTTTAACATAATAATCTTATAACTCAACCCATTTTTTATTTTGTTGAATTGGTGGCTGGGTTGGTTTAGAAAATAAGGCTTGTGTGGGAGGCTCAAAGTTATACCACTGTTGTGGTGGAGCTAATTCAGGGGGAATTGAGGAAAGGAAAGTCTCACCTTGTCAGCCTGTCCAAAAGGCTTCAATTGTAAATAAATAGCTTTATTTCACTCTTGTTTTTTTTTATCTGAATATAGGTTTGTATTATCACAAGCAATTGTTCATAAATAAAATTGTGCACTCTCATAAGATTCTCCTTCTTTTTCCATTACATATGATTCACAACAAATGCATATTATTTCATAGTTTTTTTTTTTTTTTACTTGCAGTGAGACATGGACCAAGGCTCTAGCCAACCCTAGATTCAAAATTATGAGATCCCTCATCTGGAGGTGGAATTCTTAGAAATTCAGCCTCAGCTTTGGAACCAGAGGCTGGAGAAAGGTACATCCACAGCCAACACAACTGTGTCAGAAAGGAAAGGTTGTGGAGCATGTGTTAGTGTTGTAAGTTTTTTATATTTGATTTTTTTTTTATTGCAGAAACAGCTGAAATAAAGAAACAGTGACACAAAGCAAAAAGTAAGCCTCATTTCCAAGCTTGGGATCATTTGTTGATAGGTTTGCATCACAATTTCAGGCAGAAAATACATCCAGAAGGTGTAGGATAGCTTGGTCAATAATAGACCTCAAAAAATTCAAACATGGGTTTTGCAGATTTGTGAAACCAGGCAAGGAAACTAAAGAAAACAAAATTGCTGCAAGGTTTTTTTTAAAAAAAAACAAAAAAAAAAACATGATACCACAATTTTGGGAACATTTAAAATAAATGTAGAGCAAGGATCTGTTAGGACTGTTTGGGGGGAGTGGAATGTAGAGCAAGGATCTGTTAGGACTGTTTGGGGGGAGTGGACTGGGTATTCTGGGTTCTGAGTCTTGATGGTAGATTGCAAGATG